GACAACCCAGGGCTTTCCAGACCAACATAGGTTCAGTGAGCTCTTCTGTTTCAACAAAACGAAAAAAAGACTCTTAAAATATTGCAATCTGCAGTCCTTTCCCCCATCATTCTAAAGATGCAGCACACAACTGCATAGGAAGTTTCTCACAATTAAATACATAATATGCATTTGATAGCCATACTTAAGCAGCAGACACTCGTTACTTTTTGGGCTTCAAATGCACAAATAAAGTATTTCAAACTAAGTGCCTATAAGAAAGGGAGAAATCAGTCTTTCTTGTCTGGCAAATGCAACCCACCTTTTGTGCCAAAACGTAAGCAAAAAAATAAAGGTATTAGTGGTACAGATAAAACAAAGGTATAGCAGGTTGCATGGCCAACTTAATAGCATGCAACCAAGGCCTCTGATGATGTGCCAGCTCACAATAGAGATGATTAAAGAGGCTACCGCCCTGTGCTGCCTTCTCTGTCCCTTCATCGAAGATTCTCTCCCTCCAGCAGCAGCAGCTGAATTTCACAACACAGAACATTAGCTTAAACCAACAATTTCATTTAATAGTAATAAACTGGGCTACAAACTACAGCAGTTGAGGAGCAAAACACCAGTTTATCTTTGCAATGGCTGTGGTAACCTCTGGCAGAGATGCAAGGTGTCAGTATGAGTAAGATAACTTCCTAAATCATCTCTACAGCACCTGTTCCAATCATGAACACACACAAAAAAAAAAAACAAACCACCACCCACACAAAACTAAAAACCCAATCAAGGGGTGGTGAAATATCCCAGAAAATTTCATCAAGATACTAAGTTTTTTCTGCATACTCGTGTCAAGCCTTTCCATTCCCAAAGACATCTCAATAGCCAGTATATGTTAAAAAACAGTATTTGTTTATTGTTTAGCTTTTATAAAGATGCCAAAAAAATTCTGCCCTCAGCTGTCTAAAGATATATGGCACTCATTTAAAGATAAATTATGGTTGTTTCCAAAGCAGCACCAAAGAATTTTCTCTCTCACCTCAGAAAAAGCATTTTTTAAAATAATAATTAGTAGGAAGTTTCAAGAAATAAAACTGTTCCTCTGAACAAATACTAGCATACAACCATTTTTCATCAAAATACTTTAAAAAGTAAAAATCCTGTTTCAGTCTGCAAGTATACTAATTACACATGAAACAGAAGTGACAGTTATACTTTAGAGAAATCTTTCATGCATATTTAATCAGGGCTTTACTGTAGAAATTGCACTGTAACAGTGGGATTACTTATTTTAGAATCTAGCTTGCACAGTATTGCTCATTCCCTACAAATGTCACTGATGGATGGTGGACTCAGTGCCGAACGTTCTTTGCTCCACGCTTATCACCTTTTTGGCTGACCTAATGTAGGAGACCAACATCTACACTTCCTCACTTCCAGCTATGTTGAAGGGATAGTGCTTGCCTGATACTTACCCAAGAGGCAGCAACTCAACCGTCTCCTCTTTCATTACAATTTCAGGACGAACTCCCTTTACTTTTAGGTATTGCAACAATTTGCCACCCCCCCACTCTTCTTTCTTTCCACAACAGGGGTGGGTATTGTGAATCTTACCAGTCTTTCATGTATCATAGAAACAACACCAATGTCAAGTCCAGCATTTAGTCCAAAACATCACAAGGATTGCAAAAATAGCTCTTAACTGCAATTCCCATTTTAGCTTCTAAACTACAGGAAACTGAAAAGAAAGAAAAGACCACTTCCCTAAAGCCTACACCTGAGTGAAGGCACACAGAGCACTTAAAACTGAAATTAAAGACAGCTCTTTTTGTCAGCCGTTGTCACTAACAGATAAGCAAATTTCAGCACTGAGCTCTACCCATCAGCAGGTTTTTTTTCCTGTTTGCTTGTTTTCATCCAAGTAGTGTTTTTAGGCCAGGGATTTCAAAACCATAATGTCAGCAGCATGTCGTTACTACCTGGTAAACCATGATAACTTGCCAGTTTTTGTTCCCTTGAACGCTAGAATGTGGTATTCACAGAACACTGAAATAAAAAAAATAAGATCTGAAAAAAAGCAAATAATATTTACTAAACAAAGCTTCTGTAGTGCTGCTTTATGTTTATTTTGTTTAAAAAATGTAAGCCTCAACTTTCATAGACCTCCTGCAAGGTACTCAGTTTCATAACACACAGCAAAATATCCAGAATTGAATGTTCACTTCTAGGCATCTAAACAAAAGTGACACTGCTATCAAACAGACAGGTAAGCACTTGCAGCAGAGTGGAAGCTTTGAACAAATGAAAGGAAGAAATATTACATCTTTAAGATTCATAAATTTGGATCATATGATATATAGAGACTTCTTAAATGGAAGGTAAAGACCAAACAGTGCAAGGATAAAAGATTAACAACAGCAAACAAGAGACAAGTCATTACGATTTCTCAGGTTTGGGAGGTCAAGCTTTTGCTCATGTTGCTGCCAAGGCTCTTCTAAGAATCAAGGGAAACACTGTCACAATACTCCCAAAGAATCTGTACTGAATAATGCCATTAAAGAAAAAAAGGAAAAAAAAACAAAACAAAAAACACCCCCCAAAAATCCCTCACCACTCTCAAGCACCCAATAAGTCAAGAAAATTACTACAGCATAGTAAGCCTTTTGCACCTGCATAACTGGTTGAGATTTAACACAAAACAGAGTGAAGGAAGATTATCACATAGTGTCTGCATTAAAAAAAAAAGCCAAACAAAAAAACCAAAAAACAAACTGTCTTAAAAATCCTGTGGAATAGGAACTGTTCTTTTGGCTTCCACTGACTTGCCAGCCAATTAATGCTGGCAGAATCTACACAGATGTTTTAATATAATATTTTCAAAATTACTTCAAGAAACTAGTATGAAACTCAACATGGGTTACACAGCACAGAGATGGTACATGAAGAGCAGAAATCTAGGATGTTAGTTTAAAACACACACACAAAAAAATCTCAGAATGATTTATTGAAGAAATCCCTTGCAAAATTTGTACTATATTACTGTGCATTCTAACATTACTAACAACCCTTTTAGTGGTCAAGCTGCTCAGACCTGAGCAGGTGGAAAGGAATTAGGGAGCATATCTAACAGCCCAAAATGCAGATACATATACATGTACAAATACATATACATGTTTATATTTAAGCACACATGCACACACAAGAACCTGACACACACATTCTTCCAGGGGACAAAAAACAAACCCCAGACCAAATTCAGTATTTACAGTAGCCCATATTATCATTCACCACTCTGATATATCCCATTTTAAGAAAACCCCAGGGACACTTCATCTGAAAAAATATCAAGCTGGTCCTGAGTTTTGGCATATTACAAGATGACTGAATAGGCTGCGAAACATACTGTGTTAATAATAATATGCACAGCTAATATTTTCCACTGTTACTACCACCCTCAATCCAGCTGCCTCATGTGCCAGGCTTGTTTATATCCAGTTTTCATACAATTTTACAGCTATACTGATTTCATTACTGATATAGTTGGAGAAGTACATAGGAAACATTTGTAGACAGAACACTTGAAAAAAGGATAGAGGAAGCAGCTGAAATTTTCAGCATAGTAATACTTACTTCCTACGTTCCACCAGCCCACAACACAACGCTCTGACTAGTTAAGTACTGCGTCCGCAGTAGAGCTCCCACAGTTGAATTAGAACTTCAGAGAAACTTTACTAGTGATAAAGCAGCTGTGCAGATTTTTTTTTTTTTTTTTTTTT